AACCTTTTTAAACGGTTGTCAGGCGGTGTAGAACCCACGTTGGGGCCTAACTCCCAGCAACTTCAAAAGCGCGCATCATCATCAAAACATGTGTTGGACTCTGGTCCCCCCTTAATGCCCTACCCCAGCCTGACCCCGCGGTCATTTGCCATCAAAGTTAATATGCTTTATATTACATTTTTTCTGTTTTCTGTTTTCTGGCCTCGTTTCAGTTTGTCTGCCTGCGAGCCATTTTATAATCTGCATCTGCCACAGTTCCCTAGACTTCCCCCAACCCACCCACACTTCCCCGACCGTTTCCCGATTACCCTCTTGTTTGTAGAATTGATTATTGTTTTTTCTCTTGTAGTGCAAATTACTCAATTAATTTCACTTAAATTAAAAGTTAAATACAGCGTTTATTGCCTAAGGTTTGACCGATAAGCGGGAAATGTCCTCCCCGGATCTGGTTACCAAATTGGTATCCAACTGTGTGGAAATCTCGACTATCTGGCCAGAGATAAATAAGTAAAGGAACGAAAATGACATAATCGACACTGCTCTTATTAATCCTTACATTAATTTGAAGAGCACAGTTTTAGAGCCATTCTTAATCTGGATAATTCAAAAATAGGTCAACTTATTCATGGGACATTTTTGAAAATATATCTATTGAGTGTGTTCCTCCAAGTCAATAGGTCTGACATGATCAGTCGATTTCCTAAGAAACGTTGACATCTTTGCATGGATGTGACCCTCTGAAATACTTGCATCATCCAAAGCTTCCGCCTCCACAAGGCATACAGGAGTCTAACGAATGGACAGTAGTCAACGAGCATTCCCAAATTGATTTATGACCACATTGCTTGCAAATGAGCCAAGCAAATCAAAACAAGACTAGGACCAGGCAAGCCCCCAGATTCCTGTTCTACCCTCTCCTTCTCTCTCACTACTCTGCTGTGTAGCCCCTGCTGCAGCCTGGACCATTGCAAATGCCGTGGACTTGCCACAGAGCAAGCGAAATGCATTTGGCACGCAATTACGGCCCAAAGTGTTAATTGCATTTCCGCTGCTCTGCCTGGTGGCTCTGCCTGGTTACTTTGCTCTGCTGGCAGCCCAAGAAGCCCACGTCCAGGCCGAAGCAGCGGCAGCCGAAGCCATCCGAGCCATCAAAATGCGGCACGGCCTACAGCTCACGCATTTCGCATTAACCAGAGCCAGCCTACAGACACTGAGAGAATCAAGGTGGCCAAATGGAAAGCAATTTACAAAACAAAAGCTGCTCTCCAAAAATAAAACAGGACAGATTGATTTTATTTATTAAATTAAAGGTATTCCGTTTAAAGTTTAACACTAAAAACCATCCTTAGAGTGGAGAGCAATAGCAGCCGAGACCACTTTCGCATCATTTCTCTCAGTGCTGTGCAGAAGTAAATGTGACCAGTCCAAGCCAACCCAAGCCTTTGGCAGAGATAAGCAAACGGCAGCAGAGTTAACGGCGATTTTTTTGTGGCTCAGAAGGAACCGCGGAGATTCGGGATAAGGAGAGAGGAGAGAGGAGACGATGTATGGGATGGCGATGGCGCATGCGTGGCAGACACGCAGCAGGCGGCCCAACAGTGCAGCAGTAGAAGAAGCAGCAACGAACCCAAATGGAGCGAAACTAAGTCAAACATTTGTAGAACACTGAGAAGTACGCGAGACAGGGCGGGATGTGTGAGGAGGATCCCCAGGCGGGGAATTGCAAATGGAAAAGTGCAAAATTTATGGGCCCCAAAAGGCGAATAGATGTCGTAGATTCCGCATGCTTGCGAGAATAGTTAACAGTCCTGGATGGGGCAGGAGAGGCCCAAGATCTATGCCCATGTAAATACATGGATTCGGGTAAGAGAAAAGGAAAAAACAAGAGGAGGAGGAATCGATGCCCGAGAAGAAGATAGAAATCTTTCTTTCAATGTTGAAACTCACCTTGAACTCTCTTGGCAGAAACCATAGAGTGCTTTTTAATTGACCAAAAATCCCACTGCAATTCCAGCGAACATTTCAAGCGTTTATCGCTGCCAGAGCTGACAGCCGAACGGGGTCCCCGCTCCATTTGGAAATCCAACTCGACGTCTTTTCGTGTCTCTCACTCTGCGTACGGCAACATTTTCTGATAAGCCGCCACAAAAATGTTAGCCAACTTTGTTAACCGAAGTGGCACAGCTGTCTGCTCCAGCTCCAGCTACAGAATCAACTTCAGCTCATGGTCCAATCTCCATCCCATGGCCATATCTGTTTTGTGGCATTTGTATTGGCAAATCAATGATAATGACATTTATATGCGCCATCTCTTGGCGTTCTTTTGCGGGGCTCTAACCGAAATCCGTTAATAAGCCATTTTGACAAATTGGATGATTGTCGTCGTCGTTGTCGTTGTCGTTCTGTTTGGTTGTTGTTAGGTGCTAGGAGCAGATGGGACTGCAAAAGTGTGGCGAAAGTGAAGATAGAATATCAAGAAAACATCCTCACAAATAACAGGGATTGGCGTAGGAATGAGAATGGGAATGGAAGGGGGACTATACTAGCATGGCGTATGACATAATATTTAACGACTAGACACAAAGAAAATCTTTGAGATTGTTTCACATTTCCGAATGAATATTCCAAAATATAGTTTTGGGTTGACTGTCTAAATTGGTGTGTAAATGCATGGCTAAAACAAATTCTTTATTTAACTGTGAGATATTTGTCTGCATAATTGTAGATATATTCCCTTGAGCTGCGACTTTTCTACATCATATCTCGCTTATAGCACTTTATGGTATTCTGGCACTCGGAGTCGTGTACTTGATGGAAAACTAAGGAAAAACAAAAACAGCAGCTCAGACAAGGCAAAGAATTCTACTCTGGCTCACTGCAGAGAGCTTACCATTTTTGGTATTGAAGCAATTCCATTGACTCAGCTCGCATTGGCCGGGAAAGTTGACGACGCACTTGCCGTTGCTGGCGCAGATGGATAGGGCCTGACGCGGACACTGGAAGCTGCACTTGCCCAGCTCAATCTCCTCTTTATTTTCGGCAATCAACTGGGGGATGTGCACCTGGTTGGCGTGGTGATGCCACTTGTCCAGGGAGCGACCTGTTTTGCTTTTTGTTGGCAGTGGTGTTGACGAGGAGTCCTGCTGGGGCGTCGTTTTGTTTTCATTATCCTGATATTTTCCCTTATCCTGCTGTTGCGACTTCTGTTCTTCCTCATTCTGATCCTTCACCGCATCCGTGTTCTGTGCCTGCTGCTTGTGCTGGTTCTGCTGATTCTGCTGATTCTGCTGCTCCTTCTTGATCTTGATCGCCTCTTGAATGGCCAAAGGAATGTGGAGCTGGGCCTGTTTCATCACCTGGCTGACATGCTGCTGCAGCTTGTTCACCTTGTCTGCAACATCGACGGGCTGCTGGCCGGGCAGAGAGAGCACCACATACGGAACGGGGGGCATCACCACCTTGTTCTGTGCCACCGGTCGGCCCTGATGGAGGAGAGAGCCGGTGGCCTCGTGATTTATCACCCTCACCTGTGGATCATTAGCTTGCAGCGATTGTAGAGTAGGTTGCAGCGCAGGTGAAGCCGTTGGCTGGTCAGGGGCAGGGATGTGGACATCACTAGAGTGTGCAAGTGGTGGAAGGAGACCTGAAAAGGGCTCAACGACTTGCGACACGCTCCCTTTGCTCGCCGCCTCCACAGTGCCAGTCAATGTGTGGGGCTTATCAGGCTTGTTCTTGACGTTCTGGAGCACGTGATGGATGTGATTGGTTATCAGTGTTTGTATGTGCTCCGGCAGCTCCACCTGCTGAGGTTTCCCTGTCGTTGTGGTTGCCTCGGTGGCCTGCCGCACCTCTGTGGCCTGCGCCAGAGACAGGGACAGGAGAGCTGCAAAAGTCAAGTACTGTACTGGGACACTCGCTTAGAGAAGCAATGGATACGACTTACCAATCACCAACAACGTTCTCATTTTGTTTGCAAAATGCATTTTCTGGTTCAAACTGGCCTCTGCAATCCTTTGCACTGGCCTTCAAAGACGTTCTGTGCCTGAAATCCCGAAAGTACTCACTTTATAAAGTTTTTTCCGATCCCTTAACATCACCTGCCTTGTCACGATTTCGTATTAACATATGATCATATCATTTATGGATTTCATTACAATTCTGGCGGTGAACAGGTTTTCGATTGCTCTCGTTTGAACGTAACACGGCGCTGAAACTTGTCTGGAGAGTGTTTTACCTCCCAGGTGGTACATACATATATGTCGCTGATATTGCTTTGATCGCTTCCTTATAGAATACTTAAGATGTTTGGCAGTAAATTTTTATATGGATTAATGAGTGAGATATTTTAGGAAACTATTCAGGGTTTGCATTATAAAGTATGACTCCAAATGGTGACTCGGTTCTGCAAATAATAATAGATATAGCGGGGATAAGTGGGATAAAGGTGAAATTAAATGAAAATGTCTGCATACCACAACGTCAGGCAGCTCTCCAAATATTTTACGTCAATTTAAAGTACATTTTATTAATAATCCAAATATACATAAAAGTTATCTCATTGACAACTAATTGGTTCCCCTCGCAACCGACTCCAAACCGAAGGCATCATCCAAGGGCACAGCTAAATGCTCACAACCCTGCGTCGCCATGGAAACCCAACGGGATTTTCAACCGAAACAAATATTTAAGGAAAAAATACACCCCCAATAAGGCACCAAATCAAATTGAAACGATGACAAAAAATATGCAAATTTGGCGTTTCAGGGTCTTATTTTAGCAGGACGGGAGAAGATTTAATTACAAGCCAGAAAAGAATAAAAATGACAGGCAAAGCCGTTGATGCTGATGATGATGCAATTTTATATCTCTGGCAGGTGTTAAAATAAAGGATTATGCAGGGAGGCAGGAAAGACACGGGGCATATACAGGTCCAGGGACGGACAGACACCAGAAACCAACAGCTTTTGTCAGCTGAAATTGGATTTTGATATAAAAAGCAAGGCGGAGGATGCAGTTCCACCGTTTTACAGTTGCTGCACACACAGCAAGGTGATCCACAAAGAAAACAGTAGACAGTAAACAACAGTCAAAGCCAACAACCGTTGCAAAGCTCAAAGATGAATCGCCTGTCGCTGCTATTGCTGCGTAAGTTTCGATATCTTCGCTCCTAGTGTCTGTCACCCCAAAATTGCGTTTTCCGTACAGTTTTCATTGCCGGATGTGCCGTGGCAAAGGTATTGCCTAGTAGCACTAATCTCAGCATTGACCAGCATGGACAAAGGGTGTACAAGGACCAAGTGGATGACGACAAGTGCCACTACCACTGCACGGAAAGGGACCCCTCCGTCTGCGCCTCTAACGGACAGTGCTTGCTAAAGTTTGAGAGCCGCTGCAGCATGGCCGCCTACAACTGCCGCAATCCGCAGAAGCACTTCAGCCTTGTGGAAGATCACCGCTGCACCAAAGACTGGGAGCCCATATGCTTGGAGTCGGATCTCAGAGAGTTTGGGCTGTAAAGACGGCTTTGGTTATGAGGTTGTAGTATTAAATCAATAAAGAAATGAAACTATATACGAAACGAAGCAATCTGTAGGGTTTTTATAGTTACAATGGTTTGATAAATAAGGTACTCACAGAGAGAAAAAGCTGCAACAAATGGACAGTTAAATAAGTTACATTTTATATAGTTGTTTATCTGTCCATTGTTATAATCTCTCTTTAAATATTGTCCATAAGAAACTGCTAAATTGTATGCCTCGCTTTATTCCATTCAAGTCAAATCGCTTTACTGGAGACAGCTTATTTGATCAATTAAGCCACAACGTAGAAACTTTCGCAATTAGGAAATCAAATGTGTTGATAAGCTATTTAAAACGCAGAGTATCTGCTATAATATGCGGTGATGATCTAATTTACTTATACCACAAAAAGTACGTAATTTGCAATCGGTTGCAATATCATATAAGCCTCCATAATTAACAATTACAGTGAACTTTTATCAATTACAACAATAAATTAAAAAGGTTTTTTTGTTTTATTGATATCGCAATGAATTCCTAAACGTTATAAAGATAGTGAACTTAATTGTTGGACGAAATGTGAAGACAATAGATTTGAATTTAAATTTTACAATTTTTGTATTTTATGTTTTACGGATAAACGTCTGAATTAAAGGTGTATAAAATAAGTAAGAGTTTTCTTTACAGCTCTAAGTCCTGCTCCTTGCATCGTCTGGCACACAATTCCATCCTGCAAACATCTTCACTGACGGCGCGGAAGGACTGATCCCGATGCTTGCAATTGAACGTGTCCATTACACACTGATTGGCAAACTCGTGGACACATTCTCCGTTGTGGGCGCAGATGGGCGTGTATTCGTGCTTGGTGCAGAGCTCGTCGCAGTTCTCTGCCGGCGGAGTGGCAACCATTTTCAAGGGTGAGACGGTGGACACCCCAGCCATCAGAAGGTGATGGCAATTCTTGGACGGCACACGCTTTGACATTACTGTCGTCATGGTTGGGCTGGTGGTGGTGCGGTGGGTTGGCATTATAGCCACCGGTTGGATCACAGAGGCATCGGGAATCAATATGCCATGGTTGGGTATGCCAGGGTTCGGTATTCCTTCATTAGGAATGCCAGGATTCGGTATTCCTTCATTAGGAATGCCAGGATTCGGAATTCCATCATTAGGAATGCCACGATTCGGTATTCCTTCATTGGGAATGCCAGGATTAGGTATTCCTTTATTAGGAATGCCTGGGTTCGGTATTCCTTCATTAGGAATTCCAGGATTCGGAATTCCATCATTTGGAATTCCAGGATTCGGTATTCCATCATTGGGAATGCCAGGATTAGGTATTCCCTTATTAGGAATTCCAGTGCTCGGTATTCCTTCGTTTCGTATTCCCGTATAAGATCGATCTACAATTGATCTCGTACTCCGAACTTTGCTAAGGGTAGGAGGCACCACTACCTCATTTACCACCTGGATCTTTCCCGGTTTGATCTCCTCTACGCGGGCCACCTCAACACTCTCGAGTTTACCCAGAATGACGGGCTTTCCATTAGATAGCAACGGCACTTGGATGGTAACCCGACCGATCTCTGCATTTGGCACAACCTGCGCTGTGGCGTGGATGGCGCACAGCAGCACTAAAAAGAAAAAAGATTAGAAAATGAAGGACCAAATCGTATGCTTATACTCCATATCCAACCTGCGGCCGAAGAGAAAATCAGCTTGAACATCATTACCCGTCACCTTCAGTACCTTCTCTGTCCTTTAGGGGAATCGTGTCGCAGCTTATATAGCCCCCAGCTGATACGCAATCACTCCTTCAGAACCTGTTCCCCAGTTCAGGTTTCCTTAATAAATTTAGCATTTATGGTTATTGCATTTGAACGGCTTTTCCAAATTAGCATCGACTTGCTTTCAGGGCAACGCGTAATGTTTGTTGTCTTTTTATAAAATATTAATCTTTATTTCGATTAAGTTCTTCGACTTGCATCTGGTAAATTACATTTTAAAAAACCCTTGGTATTCAGTTTAGTATCATTAATCAATTTACTGTTTGTTTTTTTAAGAGCTATCTAAGGCTTTAAACACTCGACACAAATTCACTTAAGGCAATTTAATTTTGATTTACGTATTACACCAGAATTGCTTCAGTTGTATTGATTTATTAGTTCCTATAGGGTTGACCGCTTGAGTTCACTATATTAGGGATCGTATTTATTGAAAGCTTATATGCTCACAATTGATCCCTACATTTTTGCACTTTGCGTCCACTTCATTGGGGTCATAAACAATATGCAGAGTAAGTGGTACGTACGGTATTTATTTACGAGTAGTATGTATGGAGAGCCCCCGGTATGGGGATCTATAAGTTGTAACTGTGCTATACATTGACATGTGGTTCAGAGCTGTGATTTATATCTTTCTAATGATATTTCCTTCTTCTCAAACTAAAACTCCGTCTCATATCCTGGGATTGTCCATACCATAAACGCAAATTTTTTGATAGATTTCTGCAACTACTTAAGGGATAGCCAGCTTGATGGGAATGATAAACACTAATAATAGAAAATTAGAGAAAAAAGAGAAGGGGCGTGTGAGACTCTTCTTACGCGTCACAACTTTTATACCCGGTACTCAGTTGTACATCTGTACCTTAGGGGTTTTTTTTTCAAATTAAAATTTTCATTTTTTTTACATCTGTCATCAACATCACTTCTCAGGCCAACACGCCCTTTTATTTCGTCCCCCTTCCCTAGAGCCGCACACTGGCCGAACCAGAGTGTGGAATGAGAGAATGTGAAAAAATAAAGTCTCCCTCGAAGGACGGACGGACAGACAGACATTCATTTCTATATCGACTAGGCTATTGATGCTGATCAAAAATATACATATATACTTTATGGGATCGGAAACGTTTCCTTCTCTGCTTTACATAATCCACTTTTCGTCAAAAATTCATTGTACTCATTAATATACTCTTTGAGTACTGGGTATAAAAAGAATAATATGCGTAATGAAAATAGGTAATGTGCTACCGCTTCATGACGATAATTGGAAATAATCTAGTTTCCAACGGTAACAATACGATATAGTGTCTCATCTCGCGCTACACACGGCTCTCAAAGAAACATTTTAAGCTAGTGTCCTAACATGTCATTGGATCACCAGGTGATTGGCTTCAGTTCCATTTAAAAGAAAAACGAATTTGAAGTCTTAGGAGCTAACAGTATTTATAGTTAATATCTTTAGGCCTGAACAACACATAATATACAAAATCAAAATACAAACGAACAATGAAACTTGCACAGAACTTCTGAATTATTTGAAACAACACACTAAATTTCCATTCATATGTATAAACAATTTAAGGATTTTCGCTTTCAGACATACAATTTTCGTTCCTACTACACTCCTCTAATTATGTTCCTTTCCTTCTTATTTTCCTACTCTGTGTTGCTTTTGTTTAAACCTGTACAATAAAATGTTATAAAATAAATAAGTGTGTTAAGTTAGGTATAAATAACTAAATAGATTAGAGCTTAAAATGTAAAGGTAAAATAGAGTTTTGTTTAGTTTAGTTGTTCATTTTAGTTGGTGTTAGGTAGTTGCGACACTGCCGCCAGTGTCTTCTGGTTCTGGTGATGCTTCTGTTTTTGTTTCTCGTTCAGCTTCACTTGCGCTCCATGGGCTTGACTTCCAGCAGCTGGGGGTAGTTCTCCACAATGTTGAGTAGGATGGTATCAATATAGTGCTTGAGCCGGACATTCTCGTCTTCCTTTTCCTGGAAGGCCTGTTGCAGCTGTAAAATAAAATGTTCGATTAGTTCCGGCGTTAAATAAAAGTGTTGGGAACATAAAAATAGAGTTGAGCTTAGAAATGTAAAACATGAAGTTAAAGACCACACCAAAATGTTCTTGAGAAATGATTATAGACCAATGATTAGATTAAGATTTAGATTAAGTCAAAAGAATGGTACAAATTCAACAACTGCAAGGCGTGCACAGTGGCTCCGAAACCGTGTTTGATTGGGTTTAATTGTGGCGTGATTCAAGCATTACCTGACTTAAGGATGCTAATGTGGCTGAATCCACAGAATCCTGTAATACAATAAATTTCAATATAAATACAGAGTACGAGTATGCAATTAGATATCAGGGGACGCAATGCGATACGAGCACTAGGAGACGCAATCGGCCGTTCGTAATCTTTTAGCGGTGACTGTTCGTGTGCTGAGGCTTGGCCGCTGATTGTGTGAGTGTGTGTGTGAGTGTGTGGGTGTGTGGAGGTGGGTATGGAGTGGATTGGATTGCGGACTGTGGATCGAGGATTGGGTGTGGACAACCCAGCAGAGACTAAAAGCTGAAGCGTGAGGGAACCTCATGAAGGGTTATTGGTACACACCTGCGCTTGTGACATCTCCTCCAGCTCCTGGGCCAGACTGCCCAGGGTGCCGTTGAGTAGATGGCGGCCCTGCTCCACACCATTGTTCAGCATGGTTGCCTGGTTGGTGAGCATGGTGGCCTGCAGCTCCTCGTTCTGCTCTTCGAGTGCTACGGAGAGAAAGGTTGTTAGTTGATTTCTGCGGTACAATACCATTTTGAACACTCACATCTATTCTTCTGGCGCATCTCCTCGAGCTCTTGGTGTAGCTCCTCCAGTCTTATGCTCTCCGGCGATGTGGTGGGCATGGCCCTCGCCCCATTTTCCTCCCGCGCACGCTGCAGCTCTCGGCTCAGCTCCAGCATCAGCTCCTCCGTAGACTTCTTCTCTATCTCCTGCTTGCGCAGAGTCTGTTGCTGCTCCTCGTACTCCTGCTGCAGGGCGGCGATCTGATCGCGTGCCAGCTCCAGCTGCTCCTCAGTGCGATGCAAATCGTTGGCCTGCTTATCGCACTGCACACGCAGCCGTTGCGCCTCGTCGCGCAGGGCATTGGCCTCGATCTCGGTGGCTCTGATCCTCATCTGGCAGTTCTCATTCTGCAGTGAGGCTTCGCGTTCCACGCGGGCCAGGATCTCGCGGTGACGTTTCTGCTCCTCGGCCAGACGTTCCTCGGAGCGCAGTTCCGACTGAACAAATGCCGAATGGCAAAAAGTACTTGAGCACAGTGCTTTCAAAAGCATGCAATATGTTTTACTCACCTCCCTGAACTGCTCTTCCAGCATGTGATATCGAGCCTGGAGCACTGCATATTCGGTCTTGGTGCGCGTTGTTCGATCCTCGGCTATATTTTGTGTATCCGACAGATCATCGACCTTGCGCTGCAGCAGCTCCAGCTGGTGGTAGATAGAGAGAAAAAAGAGAGATGAGTTATGAGTGCAAAGTACTTTCTGTGGTTCGTGTCCCCACTAACACAATCGTTTCGCATGTGCCGCAAATCAAGAAGCAAATCGTTCACCAACTGCACATCAGCCATGGGATATTTCAGATACATTTGCCTATGTAAGTCTACTCGTAAATTTTTGTGTGTTTCGTCTTTACATTATTGCTCAAGAGTGTTCACTCCTCACTCCACTCTACTTTATGGAAAGATTTTAAATATTTTCTCGCGCCGTCTTTGCTCGGTTGATGGCCAAGGCAGACTGCGAATGTGGCCGCCCGCTCGTTTATTTTCTTACAAAATACCAAGCCAGCGACAACGACAATGTTAATTACACTAGTGAACAGCGGAACCGACGCTACTGATTATGAAATGCACTTCTCAATGGTTCCAGGCAGAACGAAACTACATTAGGTACTTGCCTACACACTTTTGTTGGCTAGTGCTACTCGCATGCCTTGCCCATATGGATCTCACATTTATCTCATAAATATTGCGCATACGCCTCATAGGCATACACTTGAGCAGAAGGCGGCAAAAAAGCAACCAAACATTTTCCTCTCGTTGGCGTTTTGCGTTTGGCTCTTGCCATACAAGCTAGAGTCGCGGACATGTGTAAAAATCAGTTTGAATTTGCATTTTGTGGGACTACTCATGATTTACCCACACTGTGAAATGTTGCTGGGCTGGGATAAGAAATGTATAAAATGAATTCAGGCCACACTCGCACAGGATGTAGTGAATGTTTGATAAGGGCTTAGTAAAACAGGGTGCCTGACTGCAGCAGCTCTGTCAAACTATAAATATTAGGGCAGCCGACAGAAACACCCATAGAAACACGTCCCCTGATTTTCTAATGCTCTGAAAAATGTCAATTGTGAAGTTCAATTAGAGAACGACATTTTGTGTCTGTCAGTCGGGGTCGCATTGCAGTGGCTGCCAAACCGTCTGGCCTAAGGTTCAATTAGGCTTAATTAAATGCAATTTGCGGGCCACAGCTCGCAGTCCAGTCTACAATTTTTGCTGGATTTACAGAATACACAGTGACCATGTATGTACATAGCATAAAGTGAGCAGGGGAGGCGGAGGGCACACTAAACTCTATGAGCGAACACACGAGCACAATCGACGTCAAACGCGGCGGGACGGCAACTGAAAAGAGGCCCTCCCAAAAAACCAACAAAATGATTCTGATCCAGAGAGAAATAGAGAATGCGAGGCGAGAGAGTGAGTCGCTGAGTCAGCTTTCACAGTGCGATATGGCAGGGTTCTCGATTTGGGCCTCTGTGTACTATGTGTACAATGAACCATGCCAAAACAAAACAAAAAAGAAATACAAAATACTCGCAGTACTATATAGAAACGGCAAGAAACTAGAATTTAATTTAAATGTCTACAAAATTCTTCCGAAAAAAAAGAGAAGGAAACCGCGGCGGAGGGAAAAACAGAAGTCTCATTCAGAAACCGTTCTTCAGAGCGTTAACAAAGGGAAGAGAAACACGCAAGGCAGAACGACGATGGGATTCCCTGTGGCAAGAAGACCAAATATTTTATCCATCAATAGGCGGTACATGCATTGGTTACTCTGTTTGTAATCGCCTGTGACATACGTCTTCTGAGAAGAAGATACCAAGTAACCAATTACAAGTACAGGGTATGAAGTAAAGTAGCTATAAAAATAAAAATGATGTTGGGACATAAAGAGAAAACAATAAAACTGTAAGATAAATTGAGTAACAAGTGACGATGACATGACAGCTCCCAAGGAGATGGAATCGGCCTCAGAGGGGGAAAATGGGTAAACGGCAAAACGTGGAAGTGGAAAGGTGTTCTAGGGTCAGAGTGCCGCTACTTGCACTTTGATTTTTCCAGTTTTCGCTTTGACAAGTAGAAAGCCTGACAGGTGTCAGTGAATGATGGGAAGTTTTCAACGGCAAGTGGAAATGCGCAACAGCTGTGAGGCCGAAGAATAAGTTGGAAATGAATTGAAAATGAAAGAACGAAATTATAAAAGAACACCCTGAACTCCAGCTTATTCCAGCGAAAAATTTCCTGCTGATGTGCTGATCTAGTGATAGATCACATCTTTATATTCAAATTACTTAACCCAACGAGCACCAACGGCTTCCGTTACTTGGGCTTCCGTCCACTCGTTAACGGATCATATATAAGAAAATAAAAAAAACAATTGGAACATCTTTAAGCATTCGAGCATTATAATCAGCATTAGCTTTGACCCCAAAAGCCATGTTCGATTGCAGCACACACTGGACTTCCTCCTCCCAGCAAAACAATGCCCCGAACTTGTTACATTTATCAAATGAGTTTTGCCTCCCCAATACCCCATACTTATGTTTGGATACAGTGGAATAGTAAACAAGTGAGGCATACGCTGGTGGCTATCACAGAAGTACTGTTCTCCAGCAAGTGTGGAAAGATATTCCCCGGCTCTGGGCTCTCATTCACAGTGGGATGCTTGGCCAATTACATACCTACATACAGGTGTATATAAATACGTGGAATATTTTCCATATTTCTGTGGCTATATGGTTGAGAGGGGGAAAAGCGAGCCGGAGACTCTTGCTTTTATTTGTCTCTAATGGAAGTCCGTAACTAGAGCAATCGTCTTTGTAATTAACGTTCCAAAAGCGGCTTTCTCATTGTCGAAAATATGGAGACCGGGGATCGTGGATCGCACCTCAAGGGCTCTACTCATTTGGGCTTAGTTCTCTCTTAAATTCGTTGACACAATTTCCCCTACAATCCTCAATTTCGTTATAGTTTTTTAAAATTAATTTTCGTTGTTTCAGCTAATTTCTCTAAATTTGTGGTCTGTTTTTCTGTTCTTCTCTTACTGACTGATGATGATCTCATTTGACGAAAAATATAATTTATTTATGTTTATGTTAGCAGATGTTTGCCAAATTATATACGCCAGGCACCCAGAACAGTTTCTTCGACTTTGAAATGTTATTTCTGTCCATGTTGTGACTTTGAAGAAGGTAAATATGTCAAGGAAACCACACACTGATTGCTGAGAATTTTTATTAAAAAAGGTGTGTTGAGTGGAATGAGGCAGCTTGGAGGTTGGCTAACTAATGGAAAGTACCAGGGAAACTCCTTTAAAATCCTGCAATAAATGGTATAGCACTCACATCACTTGATTCCAGCATAATATTTTTCCTCTTCAAAGTTTCAGCAGCAACCGAGTCAAATGTCAAATAAGAGCAAAATTCCACCTCGAAAATGAAAAGCAGTTGAGCCAATGCCATACAAAGTTAGACTGAAGCTGATTGCATTCTAGTGTATAGCGAATTTATAGCGAATGGGCACTATTGACATGCTATATCTAGTATCTAGTATATACGTCATGACATGCGAGCCCTAAGTGGGTGGGTGGCACAAGCAACTGTCAAAACCCCCCACGGTGAACAGTGAACCCTGAACTTTTGATGGAATTAACCGCAGCAGTGCTGAATCCAGTAGCAAGGGTAAATTATGAGTACACTTATAATGGGGCTGCTTACTTGCTCGTTGAGATTGTCGCAGATCTCGGCACTGAGCGCACCGTTCATTTTGTTTCCAGATCCGCCTGCGCTGTTATCCTCGAAATCACACAGCAGTTTGTTTTTGAAATTCTTTAAATTCTCCAACTTGAATCCGTTGGTGTTCGTGTTGTTGGTTTTGTTGTTGAATTTACTTGTCAATGTCTCCAAATTGTAAACTTTGTTATTGTTATTGATATTGCTATTGATGTGGTTGTTGTTCGATTCGATGCTGTTGTTGTTAGTCTCCAATTTGTTATCGATGAAGACCAACGAGTTGGGCTCCGAGTTCGATGGCACTATATCCTCAAAGTCGGCCGGATTGAGGCTCAGAAAGGTCTCCTGATCGATCAGGATGGGTGGATGCTTGCCGAATCCGCAGTACTCGTACTCCCCCGCACCCACTACCACGCCACCGCCCAAGCTGTAGGCGTTGCTAAGGGGATTCTGCGTGGAGCTCGTGTTAAAGTTCAAATTCAAATCCTCCAAACTCTCCGTCGAAAGTTTCCTGCTTTGCTGTGCTGCTCCTCCGATCCGGCACTTGTTGTTCAGGTTGTTGTTGTTCTTTTTCGCCTGTGGGTGGTTCGTTGTGGGTCCGATAAACTCGAATTGGCCCGCCCACATATCATAGGCTAAATCGATGCTATCGGGCTGGCTGGCAGGTTGACTATTCATGATTTTTTTGGTGTTTATATTTTCTTAAGTTTGGCTTTATAGATTTACCCGGGAGTGCCACTTATTTGTTTTGTCACTTTAATGAGTATTCCTTTGCTCTTATTTTACATTTAAATTGGGAAGACTGTATTTTGTGTCCTAATTTTGTAGGAGCACTTTTCAGATATTTTCAGATGTGTTTCTTTCTATATTTCAATTATTTTTCTGAGGCACTTTGCAAAGCATTTAAAGGCTTACTATACGGGAAAAACACATATATTTTATTCGCTTTAGACTCGTATTAAATAATAGTTTTAAGTCCTATCTTTTATGCCCGTAATCATTATATTTCATTCACATTTTCCATAATTTATTGTAGTTTATTTTTCATTAAATTTGAAAGACTTATTTCTTGTTCCTTTGTCTACCATTTCCCCTCCAGTAATCTCCCTCAAGTTGTTTTCTCACAATTAAAAACAGTTAGCTTTGTGCCCAAAGACGTCTCCCAAAAAGTGGTCTTGAACCAAGTTCAGTCGAAAGAAAACAAAAGAAGTTTCCAGAAATGAATTAAACAGAAAAAATAAATAGAAGCTTAGCAAATGATTTCTGCTTTCGTATCTCGGATGGCCTTTAGCACAGTTCTTAACAAATTGAAAGGTAATTGTTGGCGATTTTGATTGGGATTTGGCCACTAAGCAGAGCAAGAAATCGACTAGAAACAATGGGAAAAGATGAGGAAGAGTAAATAAAGGCAGGG